TGGGTTGAATTGTGTCCCCAAGATATGTTGAAGTCTTAATCTCTGATACCTATGAATAGGATCTTACTTGGAAATAAGATCTTTACAGATGTAATCAAGTTAAGATAAGGTCATACTGTAGTATAGTGGGCCCTGAATCCAATAGGAGTGGTGTCCATATAAGAGAAGGAGAAGAGAGAGACACAGGCACAGAAGGCCATGTGAAGGTGGAGGCAGAGAGTGGAATTATGCTGCCACAAGCCAAGGAATGCCTGCGGCTACCAGAAGCTGGAAGAAGCAAAGAAGCCTAGAGGCTTCAGAGAAAGCACAGCCCTGCTAACACCTTTATTTTGGACTTGTAGCCTCCAGAACTGTGAGAGAATGAATTCCTATTGTTTTAAGCTACCCAGTTTGTGGTACTTTGTTATGGCAGTGTAAGAAGTTAATATAACACCCTTAACTGACCATACCACACCCTTAACTGACCATACCTCATCTCCCTATGGATGGCCTAGAGCCTCAGAGAATTCCTGAAATACCCTTCCACTAAACTACAGAAAGTAGAATATAAAGTTTACACAAGGCAGGGCAGCTTCATGGGTGTGTATCTGTGCAGTGCACACCTGTGCAGTCTGCTCTCAGAAGGGTCCTGCACTTGATTAATGCTTAATTGTTGCTGTCTTAAGATTCTTACTTTTGAACAAGGAGTACCATATTTCCACTTTGCACTGGGCCCACAGATTATGTATTAAGGAAATGGACAGAATTGCTATACACACAACTCATATCAAAGAGTCTTGCTTTTCAAAGCAACCTGGTTATCATTTGCCAAAGCCCTAATATATTTTGGAAGTCAAAGGGAAAAGCAGCCCTCTCTCAACTGTCATGTATGCCTCCTTAACCCTTTATTAAAAGGAAATGATTTAGAAAAACAAGAAGGCTGCCAAGAAGAGCACATGTGATTTGCCAATTTACAACACTGCCAAAGTGAAAGCGAAGTCACCAAGAGAGAGTCAAAAAGCCCATTGTATACTTCTAGAACATGACAAGAACAGGGTGAAGTGAAAAAGAAAAAAGCTGTTGATTTTATAAGATACTTAGAGAGTGAAGAAAAGCTACTTCTGGGCATGCCAAATGCATAAAATATCACAAAGACCTGGATATTGTGATTGAGAAATACAATTCTATGTCATGAAATGCATGCTGGATGGGGACTATGAGTATGATTAGGCAATTTGTATCTCAACTAGTCAGTCTCAAAATTTTCTCCAAGACAGGCATCTAATCAGCTTAACTAGGGCTGCATAGTATGAAGGAGAGATGCAATGAGTGTGTCCACTTGTGTTCTTGTCCTGGCCTTTCCTCAGGCTACAAAGCCATAGACACGGCCAGCCTGATGCTGCTGTCCATTCATCTGATGTACTTATTAGAATACCTACTCCCATGCCACAGCTTCATCAGTCCTATCCTGTTGATACATAAATCTCACCATTCCCACTCTCATTAGGGTTTGGATCCCAGATATTGTGCAAATAATCTTGCAAAGTGAAGTACTAGTCTTCCAGTTTTGTACTTTAGGGTGAATGAATTTCAGGCTCTTTTCCAGGGGCTGAAGTTTTTGATTGCAGCTGAGAGGAAGCATATGAGAAACCAGTGAGGTCCCCACTAAGGGAAATGTGATGTGCTATACTAAAACATTTTCTCTCTTCACAATTTTACAAACAGAGCAAGCAAAACAACAACAACAACAACAACAACAACAACAACAAAAAACACAGCAAAACAAACAAGTAAACAAACAAACAAAACAACATTTGATATGTAGCTAAGTTTGGAGGAAATGATCAATGGCTCAAATTGGCATATTTTAAAGCAACTGTCTCTCTTTTTTTTTTTTTTTTATTAGGATTTGGGTGAAGATTTACAGAGTAAATTCACTTTTCATACAGCAGTTCACATATACTTTGTCTCATGTCATTGACCAAAATTTACAATGCAGCAGCTCCCCTCCCACTTCCTCCCCGTTACCTCCTCCCAGTGTCCATCCCTTCATACTCTTCGAGAGGCCCATTTTCTGCCAACCCTGTATATGATCTTGGATACACTCTCCATTTAGACATACATAATTGTTTAGCTTGTTCACCCATCTATCCGTCCCTATACCCATATTTGCTTTCATTAACAACTCAGTATTGTATTTACAAAGGGGTTCATATTTGTTGTTTGTAATGCCCATGTAACTCTCTCTGTCTTTCTCATCCTCAATGCTGCCATATTGGTCACTCACATTTGGTACATTGCCCTTCTCTTCACCCAAATCAATATTTATCTCTATCTATCTAACAGCATTCCCTCCCCTTCCCTCCCACCCCTGGTAACCAACAAAGAAAATGTCCTCCAATATATAAACATTTCCTTAACATTTACAATAACGGACTAATACAATATTTGTCCTTTTGTGACTGACTTATTTCGCTCAGCATAATGTCCTCCAAGTTCATCCACGTTATGCGGTGTTCTGCAGATTCTACATTATTCTTTAGCGTTGCATAGTATTCCATTGTGTGAATGTACCAAAGTTTGGTTATCCATTCCTCAGTTGTTGGACATCTAGGTTGTTTCCAAGTTTTGGCTATTGTAAATAGTGCTGCGATGAACATCGGCGTGCATATATCTGTTCTTGTTATGGCTCTCACTTCTTTAGGGTATATACCTAGTAATGGGATGGCTGGGTCAAATGGTATTTGTATTTCCAACTTTTGAAGGAATCGCCATACTGCTTTCCACAATGGTTGTACCATTTTACAGTCCCACCAGCAGTGTATGAGAGTCCCAATCTCTCCACAACCTCGCCAGCATTTGTTATTTTCTGTCTTGTTGAACTTTGCTACTAGTGCTGGAGCAAGATGGTATCTCATTGTTGTTTTGATTTGCATCTCTCTAATAGCTAATGATCGTGAGCATTTCTTCATATGTTTGTTGGCCGCTTGAATATCCTCCTTGGTGAAGTGTCTGTTCATGTCTTCTGCCCATTTTTTAATTGGATTGTTTGTCTTTTTGTTATTGAGGTGTTGGAGTGTTCTATAAATTCTAGAGATAAGTCCCTTGTCAGATATGTTATTACCAAATATTTTTTCCCAATCTGTAGGTTCTCTTTTGACTCTTTTGGAGAAGTCTTTGGAAGCACATAAACATTTAATTTTTAGAAGGTCCCAATCATCTGGCTTCTCTTCTGCTGTTGGTGCATTTTGAATTATGCTTGGTAGTCTATTTATACCAACTATTAGGGCCCTTAAGTTTGAGCCTAAATTTTCCTTGAAAAACTGTATAGTTCTAGGTTTCACATTTAAGTCTTTGATCCATCTGGAGTTTGTTTTTGTGTGTGGTGTGAGGTACATATCTTGTTTCATTTTTCTGCAAATGGATCTCCAGTTTTGCCAGCACCATTTATTAAACAAACATTCTCTTCCCCACTTAATGGATTTGGGGCCTTTGTCAAAGATCAGCTGACTATAGGTTGATGGATCTATACCTGGGTTCTCAATTCTATTCCATTGGTCTATGTATCTGTCATTGAACCAATACCAGGCAGTTTTGACTACTGTGGCTGTATAGTAGGTTTTGAGATCCGGCAATGTGAGACCTCCTACTTTGTTTTTCTTCTTCAGTAGTGCTTTGCTTATCCGAGGTCTCTTTCCTTTCCATATAAAGTTAGTGATCATTTTTTCCATATCCCTAAAGAATGTTGATGGGATCTGGATTGGGATTGCATTGAATGTATAGATTGCTTTGAAAGCAACTGTCTCTTATCTCACCTGCATGGACTTTTGACTAAATCTCATCTTTTATGTAAACTTCTACTGATTCATTGGAAAGTAAAATAAGCTCACTAATTTTGGAATGCATGCTGTGTTTTCCTTCTGTTTGAAATGGTCACCTTTTCCATCTACTATTCACTGAGATACAGGTTTCTTCTCTGACAAAGGTATGAAATCTAGGCAATTGATATGAGTTACACATGTCTGGCATAGTCCAATTGCTCATTTTTAGCAATTAATTTCACGTAACAAAAAAAGGCATCAAAATCTACTCAAAAATGAAAAGTAGGTGGATAATCAGATTTCATATGTAAGCAAGAAAAAATAAAAACAAAAAGCAGAAAACTGTGGACTTTGTGGTAGTAATGAGCAAAGTTCCTCAGGATGTACATTCTCTACGGCTCTAAAACAGAGACACTGTCAGGCAGGGATGTTAGAGAGTACACTAACTGGCTTGGTATTAGGATTTATTTTGTAGTATAGGTTATGTTTCCCTTTCATCCTCGCACTAGACCCAGCTATTTGAAGATGCTGCCCTGGGAGGGTTAGCTTTCTGTATGACTTAATATTTAATATGCCTCAATGGGATTTCATATTTGCAGTGAAAGAGTCTTTATTTCATATGCTTAAAAAGGGAAAATGTCCTTCATTCCTGAAAAGATTTACTTTAGGAAATGTGATGTAATTCTATAAGAATCTTGAAAGATTTTTTTTTTTTTTAAATTGATCATCTGTGTTTTTCAGTGATATCTGGGGTAAAATGAATGGTAAAATCTGTAATAATATGAACAGTAAAATTTTTCACAATATAACATGATTAACAAAAGGAAAAAAAATCATCATACCTTTACAGTCTTTGCTATAGGTCATTTGAGGTGAGTGGGTTTACCACCCTGGTAGAGTTTTCCAAATCTTCTTCACATGTCTGTTTTATGTGGTTTCCTCACCACAGAAGGGGTTTCACCAGTCAGTGGTCCTGGAAGTCACACTCCAGCTATCTTCTATCGCATCCCAGCCTCTGTGCAGACTCTTCTCCTACTCAAACTCTAAATTTTACCAAATCTCAGTACCTTCTTAGGCTTGCTACCTCAGTTGAGGGCCATTTAATATTTCATTCATAGTATAAACGTTGGCAACCCTAGTAGTGTCACACCTAATAAAACACCAGTTTTAAAATGCCATTGTGCAGATGAAAATACCTACCTCTCTTGTAGAACAAGTTTATTTTCTTTCTTCCAAAAGTCTTTAAAGTCAGAGCTGAATTCATGCCAGATACTGAAGAAAACATTTGGGGACACCTCCTTCTCTCCAATTTTTGGTTTCATGAAGAAATAGGCTGTAGTCTCCAAAAAGCTGTCAAAGCACACACACACAAGAGCATAAAAGCTATGATTACTTTCCAATAAGGGATATTCACTCTCTATCCAAATGTTGATTTCATTCATACATAGTTATTGTTACCAAGAGGACTCAAGCTGTTCAGGCACCAACAGGGTTCTCTTAAGTCTTATGTTAGAGTTCTGGATAAAGTTGCTGTAAATAATACAAATCTTCTATCTACTTATCATTAAACCAGGGGGGAAAAAAAAATCAGTTGCTATGGGGTTGATTTTTGACTCATAGCAATCTCGTATGTGTTATAGTAGATCATCAGGCTTTTCTTCTAAGATACCTCTGGGTGGACTTGAACCTCCAGCCTTTCAGTTAGCAGCTAAGTGCATTAACTGTTTGTACCACCCAGGGGCTAATAACTACCTCTAGGCCAAGTCACTTTTAAAAACTAATCATGAATTTTTTGGCATATTTCAGAAATGAAGCTATTGTGCAATTGGGGAATACTCAAAATGGAGGGCCTATATTTCATTACTAAAATCTAAATAAATGAAATATTAGTTTTTTTTCCCCAAAAAATTATTATGTATTCCATATTCACATTAAGTTATATTACTTAAATACAATTTGGCTTCCAATACCGTTGGAAGAAACAAAAAACAGGAGTATCAGAGGACATGGACAAAATCTGCCATTAAAGATTATGGTCATATCATTGACTGGACACCAGTATGGCAGCCAGCATAGGGATCGTAGACTGGTCAATGTCAATCTGATGTCAGAAGGTGCAACTACAGAGATTCCTTATAAATAAGCTGCATACAACTCAGAAGATGTTCAAAAGAGTGATTTGACAAAGAACACAAAGCTAATAAAAGGTAGGTTTTTGTCTTAACAAGTATGATTCCATGGACAAAATCCTGAGAAGGACCTAGGCCATACCATAGTGAGGTAACCTGGGCAGCTGGTCAGAGTATGGCCAGAGATGCTGTGAAAAGGCATGTCATTCAAATAACTCTTGACTGCCCCTTCTACCCAGCAGTATTTGTGCTACATATAGTCTGAGTGACCTCAAAGTAACAATTTCCAAGGCAACTTAATTATTCCATGTTGTGCTGCTTAGTTAGAAATTTGTACAAACACACAAACACACATGCATTCACTTGGTCACATAGCTTATTTTAAATCCTTAATAAAAAAATACCTCATTGAACTTAAAATTATAAAAATAAAGTTGTAAGGTGAATTTTCTCAGAATAAGCAGGGGACTGAATATCACACACAAAAGAAGAAAATTCACAATCACTCCTGACTATGTGTGGCCAGTCCACTCTGTTTCTAAACTCGGCTATAGTGGTCTCTGAGCAGTAAGATTCCCAGAGACATCAGTTTGTAGATTCTGAGGAAAAAAATGACAACACTGATTTGATAAGATGTGTGGATCTCAGGAAATAGATATTTCTGCCTAGTTATCTTACTAAGAAAAATGATGCAGTACAGTCAATCCAGAGAAAGAGCTAGACTGTGAAGTGGACATGGTATGTGAGAATTTGGACACCACAAGCTATGGTAATAACATCAGAATGCACCCACAGAATGTGTTGATGGTGTGAGGACTGCCAGGAGAGTAGATGTCAGAGAACATAAATAGGCTGGGCCTTATCTGGGTCATATTTTATTAAAACTGATAAAGTATACACATATTTCTTTCCTGGGAAAACCTGCCATTCTCCTTATATGCCTAAAGGGTATTTATGACCTGCTAACTAGAAGGTTGGTGGTTCAAACCCACCAGCCACTCCTCAGAAGATTGGGCAATCTACTTCCATAGGCATACTGCCTCGGAAACCCAAGGATGGGTCGCTATGAGTAGGAGATGACTCGACAGCATATAACAACAACAATGGGCTGAAATTAGGTCTCAAATCCTTTGGCTATACATTTACTCTTTTTCATCATTTTCGTGTATTTATGGCACATAAAATTGATTATTAGATATCAAGCTAGTCTGTTGGGGCAGAAACATATAAATTATAATAGCTGCTTCATCCGTTCAGTAATCTAACATTTCAAAAGTTCTATCATAAAGCAGCATGGTATAAAGGAAAGAATATAGGATTTAGAATGAGAGGACATGGAAAGAAATTGGATCCTGATTCTGTGACTAGCTATATTGGCAAACAATTTAACATCATTGTGCCTTAGCTTTCATTTGTAAAACAGAGATCAATGCAAACAATTCTTTTGAAGTCTAGTGGGGGAAATAGCCATGAATTTCCAGCGTTTGTTAATCTATTTAACATAAGATAAATTTATATTTCATATTATTTTTCATTACATTTGTTTATATTTTATATTAAAGGTATACATATATTTCCTAAAAATTTTCTCTAAATTTTATCTAATTCAGTTGGGGCTGATTTATTAATAGACACTCATGTAACTATGTTTCCTATAGGGATCTTTGTGTTATGGGTAAGTATAGAGGCTTCCAATATTAATAATAATTAGTTATTTTCATTTTTCAATAATTTCTCTGGGCTCTGTCATAAATTACCCACATAGCCTTGAGCAAGTAACTTAATTTCCAAGTTTCAGTATTTTATATATAGAAAGAGTTTTGTTTTATTGTAACCCTTCTGAATTGTCTGCTTTATCTAAATTCAAAACCAGGAGGGTCCATCCACCATACAGCAATAGAGAAATGCTGAAGGGGACAAGAAACCTTATCTGTGAACTTCCTCACTAGACAGGCTGTTCTGTGAGACTCCCAATATGGTTCTACCATATTAAGAGCCTACAGTGAAAAGAAATGCAGGTATAACACTAAAATAAATGCAGTAATCACAATAAGTGACAACTCCAGAGGCCACTGAACAACAAAGAACCTTTTGATCTGGATTCCTAAATTCTACAGAACTTTCTTTTAGGAAATGACTTGATGTAGCCCTTTCTGGAAAGTATCAACATTGCACTTCTCATGGAACAAAGATCAGAAAGCAATTTACTTCCATAGTGATACTGCCTCGGAAACCCAAGGAGGAATCACTATGAGTTGGGTCCAACTTGACGGCACATAACAACAACAACAACATTGATGACTGGGATCTTAAAAGCCTGCAAGCAGCCATCTAGATGTAATGATGGGTCTCTCCTCATCCAGTGCAAAGAAGAATGAAGAAAACCAAAGATTCATGGAAAGAATTAGTCCTAGTGACTGGTACACCATGTGATCCGGAGCTTATACGATTACAAGACCAGAAGAACTAGATGGTGTCTGGCTACCAATGTCAACCACTAAGAGGGACATCTATGTAGGAGATCCTGGATAGAGAGGGAGAACAATGTGGAAAAAAACTCAAAAGCATTTGGAAAAAAGAAAGGGGTGGGTGGAGACCAGGTTTGCTGGTCTGAGAGAACCTGGTGGAACCACTGAGACTATGGCCCTTAGGTGCCCTTCAGGTCTAGAATTGAACCCACACTTGTGGCTTCCAGCCTAGCAAAAGACAGCCATAGGCATTGAACATGTACCTGAGGTAAATACATTCCTTGGAAAGAACAATCGTGAGAGAAAGAAGGGCTGTTTATGCACAGGGAGCCAGCTCAGGGGGCAGGGGTGCATGGACTGATGGACACAGGGAAGAGGTGACTGTCGGAAGGAAGTGGGAGGGGAGCTGCTGCATTGTGGTGAATTGTGGTCAATGTCATGAGACAAAGTGTATGTGAACTGCTGTATGGAAAGGGAATTTGCTCTGTAAATTTTCACCCAAATAACAATAAACAACAACAACAACAAAAGAGTAGCTATTAAGTATTAAAAAGACAGTAAAGCAGAAGAATTGTTTTGTGATTTTCCTGAATGCTGACTCAAAAACAGAGAGAGCAACTAACATATTAAAACAAAGCTCATGATAAAACATCTACAAAAATAATAGTTGTCCACTATCCCTACAAACTCAAACAGGTGGGGACAAACAATTAACAATTGCAAACCCCACATGTTTCCACATTGGTTTAGGAGGAAACAAAGGAGAACAACAAGGGAACTCCCCTAAAAATAGAAGGTCTTCCAAAGAAAAAGAAAGTATTTCTGCAAAGTGTGAACTAAAGCTGATACATGAAAGAGAAGATGTGAGTCTGAGGCCAGAGTCCTAGTAGCCTCCAGGAAAATTTTTAACCAGAAACCTTTTAGTGTCAGCAATACTAACAAGACTTTTGGAATTCTAAACACTCCTTAGGGCTTTTATCTGCCCTCCAGTCTCAGCAGGTATCAAGGAACTTCCTCCGAACTCAGCACGCATCACAAAAGCCATCCGGATTCAGCACTTATCGGAGATTTGTTGGGTTCCTGAAAGTCTCCCACATACCTGAGCCTCCATCCTCCCTAGATAATATTTTCCTAAGTGAACTTTGGAGCCGGGGGGGGGGGGGTTTCTTTACGTCCCCCAACATCTTAGATCACTGCCCTAAGTCCCTTAGCAACCACCAATCATCTGTACCCTCTGTACCCTCTTGCCCTGGTGCTGCCCCTCCCCATATTGTTTCATAAATTTGTGAGAATACTGGGCACGGGGTCTTTTGCTCAAGCCACTGATCTGGTAAGGGCAAAGACCCTAACTTAAGTTAGCTAATAAACCCTCCTATTGCTTTTGCATTGTCGTGTGTTGGCATATTTCTCTCGCCAAGGAACTCCTTCATAACCTGGGCACAACAAAGAAAGGATCCATGCGCTGGGAAAGTTCTGAGGCCTGGGATCAGTCTGAGCTACGTGAACCTTGAGTACTAACAGAAACTCTCTGCTAAACATTGAAAGAAAATGATGGGATTAGAATTCAGATTTGGAATGATAAATCCAGAACAAAGGAAGTACAAAATGCTGATGAGATGGAGGGGACAAAGACATAGGGAGCAGAGGCCTTTTGGTTAAAAAAAAAAATCACTGTGCAAAAGCAACAAAATAGGAAGCTCTAGTGCAGTGAAGATAGAAAAGCTATCCTGACATTTCTCTCTCTTCCCAAAAC